ACTTGACTTTCGGGCTCTCACCAAACGAAAACCATCCCATTGAAACCCAGGTGGAACTGCCGACCCATCCGGCATGTGATCAGGATCGTGATCAGCAAGTCCCTCGGCAGGTGCGGGAGGATCTTGCATCAAAACCTCCTCCAGCACAGATGCTTCGCCAGGCTGCAAATATGACTCCGGCTCATATTCCAATTCATCCGGAGAACACGGTTTGTCGTCGGCAATAGCTTGCTTTGCGGGAAAAACAAACGTCTCATCAAGCAGACTGAACTCATACTGCTTGACGCGGAGGGGATTAATGTCACCCGTCCGCAACTTGTCCGGCAAATTCTTGAGCGGCAATACCAAAATTTCATGGGTGTAGGTAAAGCCAGGTTGCACATGATAGCCAACAAAAATGCCGACATCCGAAGTTGGCAGAAACTTGGACTGCTTCGAATCGACGCGCTGACGATTGATCCAATACGACAATTTTGCACCAAATGGAATCTTCGTGTCAGGAAACTCATCACCAAAACGCAAAGCCCACGGCGACTTATCCTTGTCATCTGGAATTGTAACATTGAGAGCAAATGCATGATGTTGAGCTGCCAAAGGCCAAAGCTCAACCGGCAAACCACTTTGAAACAGATTTGCTCTTGCTCCCTCCAGAATTGTACGAATCTCGCGCTCGATCACCCCGGAAGATTGACTGACATATGGCTGGCTCAGCACGTGTCTCCAACCCATACTCTTTACTGCAGCTGCAATCTCGCCAGAATTGTCAGAATAGAAAATCCCAACATGATCATCTGGCTTCGTGAAATGTTGAAATGCACGAACGCAACTGTCAGCATCTTGCCTTGCTGAAGGGTAAAAATACCGGAACTGCGTGAACACATCTTTCACGACCAAAGCATTCCACTCGCCCTTGAACCCGTACGTCTCATCATTTGAAATGACGTGGTCAGCAGTCACATGATCTCCAAATGCTTTTGCATCCACCGAAGAAGATCCATGTCTGCGACGAGCCTGAGGTGCTTGCATCTTTGATCGCACACACGTTTCGCAAAAGGGGTTCTTGGGCCTGTGAGTGAAAAGATGCTCTTCACTTTTGGCCTCACGCATCATCATTTCTTTTGAACGCTTTGACATCGGTTTTGGAGCTTTTTCAACCTCAGGGTTGTCCTCCAATTCCGGATCAAACTCCGGTTCCAGCGGTTCAGCTTCATCAGGGCGCAATGGAAACGATGCAGCATCCGGCGGAGGTTGCCCTCCGCTTGAAGATGAAGGCACTTCAACGCCCCCGATCTTCTGATCGGATGCAGCAAGAGCAACAGGCATAGCTGATTCAGAAGCTATGACCTCGCACTGATCGTCAACATAAGGAACTCGCCCATCGAGCTTCAATATTACCGCTTTCCCGTCAGGTCGAACAAAGTACGGAGCACTGTTCTTTCTCCATACGAAATCGTACCCCTTTTCCAAACATCTTTGACCAACAGAAAGTACAGCTGGTGTGCTCGGCAAAACATACGGAGTGACGACCTCGTTCAACTGATCAATGGAGAAGTCCGCAATCTTGTCTGCACAAATTGATCCATTTGCTGTTGAAAGATTGATTGGAGTCAATGCAGGATTTATCTTCTTTTGAAGTGTAACTGCACGCTCAGAGTCGACCAGATCTTGTTCACTACCTGTGTCGACAATCCACTGACGAAGCCCTGCTGGTGCTGGCGTAGCAATGTACTCCGGCACATCGTCAAGGTTCATTTCATCATCATCAATCCAACAGCCAGGACAATATAAACCGCAATAAATTGGGTCATTGTCATCATAGTATTCGCAATAGAACCCACAAGGCGCGTTGTAGTTTGCATGCATCAAGTCAACAACCCCTTCCAGAATCAAAGCTTTGTCTTTAGCATCGCTCAGATCCTTGGGATTTGAGCCAGGCGCACAACCATCATACCACACAACCTCAGGGTCATTCGGCTTTGGAGCACATGATAGGCATAGCCCATTGGCCTCGATCTCGACGATCTCGACATTGTCTGCGAATTTGACGCATCTGCGGGTATTGGAAACATCTGTACTGCAAATGAAAATTGTTTGCCCAGTCCAGTATTGCTCCAAACCTTCATCAGGATCCGCCCAGAAATCACCAAACACTTGCTCTTTGCCATTGATGTTGGCTTTGGTGATGCGCTGATCCAATAAACGTTCCAGCGAAATCGGAAGGTCTTTTGCACTCTTCGGATCATAAAGCGCTTTTCGAGGCATCACATGGTGTCGAATGATCATCTCGTTCACCGAGTCAACTTCCCAGAAATCTTGCTTTGGGCGGCATGCTGCGAGGCATGCATTGGTCTCTTTCACCCTCAGACACACAGCGGCTGAGGACTCGCCCTTTTTGCTCTGGGATCGCTTCCTCCCTTTTCCCTTTGGGGTGGGAGACCTACCTCTGCTGGCTCCTTTCTTTGGGCTCGGCTTATCTGTCGCTGGTGCAGCAGACCGAGTCTCATGCGAAAACGCACAGTTGTCTCCACGAGTGCATTTCCCCTGACCGCCTTTGAAAAACCTGCAGGGAATCTTCTTCAGCTCCGCTCTCTTTCTCGATGCCGACCGATCCCTGTCTCTCGCTTGGCTGTCAGAGCGCCCCCGACCTTTTCCTTTCGGATTTTGGCTCGGGGGTCTTGGGTCTTTCTCATGCTTGTAAATGCAATTATCCCGAGTGCACTTGCCTTTCTGAAAATCATAGCAATACCTGACCGCTGACGGATCTCTTGCACGCCCAGGATTTGCATTGGGAGCTGGAGCACCGACCTTCTGATTGTGAGCTCGAGCAACACGATCACGATTTGACTGCAATCGCTCCCGAGTCAAAACATCACGAACGGCTTGAACAAGAAACTCGTAGCTCTTGTCATACGACCCATCTTTTGCACGCTCGTATGTATCGAGGTCATACTTGATCTTGTGACATCCACGAATCTGTCGCAAGAAAATGTCCTTCAAGACGTGCTGCTCCGGAACGATCTTCATGCCAGCAATGTCGGAATCCCAATTCTGAATAAAGGTCATCAAATCATTCAGATCGGCCTGATGCTGCATTCACCTGGGTTAACAAGGTGTACGTCAACCGGGAGGACAAGAAGAATCTCATGTTAGAGCTTGGAGATCCAGAGCAGTTTGAAACGTTGGATACAAAGCTTCTTGCGGCCTTGTCGCGGATTGCTAGGGGCGACCTTAGTCGGCAGATCCTCACCTACAAGGAGCAACAAGCTGCTTTGGACAAAGTTTTCCGTGGACGTCAAGTTCTTCTCATGTTTGAGCAGTATTTCAGAACGAATGAGGAGGCCGGAGCGTTGTATTCCACTGAAGATTTGTTGAAGGTGGTGCTTAAGCAGCCCGAATCTCTTCGCGAGTAGCCGTTTTCCAGGCTCTATAGGTCTCAGGAGTGGGAAACTCACTCAGCCTCAGCGAATCGGCTTCCTTTGCTTTTGGCCGATCATGCTGATTCCGGACGAAGCCGAGGAGGGCCGCACGGAACTCCGCCTCGGTGGTCTCGGGACCAGTCAACCGATCAATGTTCGGCTGATTTTGCTGACTTCGGCTGTTCTCTTGCTCCGAAGACCGTCTCGCATGATCTTTGATATCAAACTGCATTGCACCAGAAATAGGATCAGTCCAACTCTGCTGTGGAATAATCTGTGGCATAGTTCCAGAAGTTTGTGCATTCTGCGTTGGAAAAAGACGCGGATCATCAAAGATACTGCCCCTCTTATCCAAAAACGACTCCGAACTGACGTTCTGTACACTTGACGCAGGCTGAGGATCTCCGCGCACCATTTCACGCTGCGCCTTTTCGAGATCGTTCCTCAGACGCTCAACGGTGTCGTTCAGCCCGTTGATCGTGTCCTGCATGGCGTGATTCTCCGCCAAAATACTGTCTCTCTGCTCACCGACCGCCTTCTCCGAGTTCTCCATCACAACAGTCTCAGCATGTAAGCTTTGTGCGAAAGCGCTATACTGTGCCGTTCTTTGCGACACAGCTTCGTTCACTTCGGCAGAAATTGCTCCCCGCATCTGGCCAACCTGGGCGTTGAAGAAAGCGCGAGCCTCTGCGAACTGCTCGTGCAGCTCAAGGGTCCGACGGTTGTTCTCCTCGTCCAGGCGATGCACAGTTTCCGCCAAATGAGCGCTATATTCCGCCCTTGTAGCATCCATAGCAACGCGATGTAACGTGTTGGCCTCTTCCCTAACAGCGTCACCCGTGTCGTTATGCACATGCATGATGTTCTGGGTGGCTTGGTAGTTTGTCGCGAACCCGAATACGTTTCGAGGATCGCGAGGGTCAACAGGACCTGTAGGTGCTACTGCACCATCACCACCGTCACCAACTTCTCCAGATATATTGTATATAATGGGCAAATCTCCGGATGCCATGGCGATCTTTGTACAAGCCTTTACGGCTGATAACCTGTGTTATCAAGCCTAGGCCACCTAAGGTAATACCTAGGCAAGCAGCAAACCGTTGACTACTTTTCACACTGCTGATAGTGCTCTTGAAGTCTGTAGCGGCGGAGCATGTACAAGGTACACTCATGCACAGGGTTGGAACCTGAATCCACAGAACTCCTTGGATCTGGGGAACGCGTGTGTTGAGTTGGAGAAGCCTTTACGAAAAACCGAGTTGGCGACAAAAGGCCATAGCCTGCCGGGTGGTTTTGAACACCCTTTTCGAACTTGGCGGTTGGGCAACCAAAGGAGAACCTATTGTTTCCTCAAATACTTCACTGCTTTCGGAGGTTTAGGATGTGCACCTGATTCCCGTTCCCGAACCTCACAAACATCCAAGAAAGTTCATAAACCTTTCATCAGAATCCGAGGGCTGGTCATCGGCGCTGGACAAATCAGGGGCTGACCATTTTCTGATACTTAAACCGCCCCTATGACTAACTTTGGTTGTGCTCCACTCGATTCTGATGCCTTTCGGATTGCACGATCCGGGTCCCAGCCTTGCCCTCCATAAGGCGATGGATCAACAGCTCCTCGGTCGATTTTTTTCTCGCGCAAAGACAACCACCCGAGTGAGAAAACAGTTAACAACATATGCAACCAATGGGTGGTGGGTCTTTAGAATGCAAACTCGGTTGCTCTCTGCTCCCCTGCTAAAAGTGCAACTTTTAGCGGTTTGAAGGAAAACCCGTTGGCAAAAAGTTAAAGTCCCAACATCCAAGCGGTGGGAAATCCATTGCGGCTCCATGTGCTAACCGAGTGCTACTCACTATCGGAACTGCGCAAACAAAGGGATAAACGACACGATCGGCCGCCCATGACTGGCTGGACGCTTGCCACCTTCTCCCCACCCAGTCCAATGCCAGCCGCGCTCATTATTCAGCCCAGCTGGCAACGCAAACAACCCATCCGAAAATGGTTCACATGGTGAGTGTTCCTATCGAATTCACCTAAAACCAGCCAAAAAGCGGGGGGCCTATTTTGCGAAATCTCCAATTGGTTCCATTGGTTTGGAGGTGAGAGAGAGGGTTGTTCCCCAACTTTCTTGGACCTTTGGGACCTGGAAACAGGTGATGACCCTTTGGAGCCATATTTTATGACTGCAAGTGAACCAACATTCTAGGGCTCGATTCCTTTTCCATTCCTTTCACAAATTGTACCGATTTGCTTTGGACGAAGCGAGCTAACTGTTTGCGCGCCATGGCGCAAGCTTCAACTTTTAACCCAAGAACATCTCGAAGACTAACGAAAACATCTGCGTCTGTCCGTTTGAAAAGGACCCAAAAGAAGGTTATACTGGTTTTTGGTTTTAAAAACCCAAAGGGGGGGCCATCTCTAGTACCATGGGACTGCTTGAATCAAAAACCATGGGATTTGAAAAGCTGATGATCTGTTCCGGTCTGAGAATTGAATGAGTTCGGTTTGCCAATTCAACACCCGTCCTTTGGAGAACGAAGCCCACACTTGAGCCCTTTTCAAGGATCACACCATGCGATTAGGTACATCTCAAGTACATGGGTTGGCTGCAAAAAGTTGGGCTGGTTTTCCCCAAGCCGTCTGGCGCCCTTCTTGGTTGACGTTGGAAGGGGGGCAACAATTTAAATTTTAGCAGTTCAGTGAAGATTTCCCACTAAACCACAATAAGCAAAAAAGTAAAATGTTTCCCAGCAACAACCATGCCTTTGGGTGGCAACCCCAAATGAGCCGCACGTTGCTTGAGGCCGGCTCCCCGACCCCCAAACATTCCGGTCTGTTTCTCGTGCCCAGGTGCGTGCGAGCCCCGCACCGCCAGGGGCTCCGGCAGAGTTACCTGTCAAAAAACCAGCGGATGGGCAGTCTCGCTGTCTTGGTACCCTTTGAGGATAGTTTTCGAGGTTTAGAGGAGATCAGAGTACCTTAGAGTACTTGGAGGGAGTAATTCGCAAACCTGGGTGCTTTAGTGCTTTACTCTTAATCCCGGGCTCGCTGAACCGCCAAATCGAAGCTCATTGCAATATTTGCCCCGGGGGAAAATTCCTGGGTGCGAGCCAATCACCGTGAATTGTGTTGCAATTGTGCCAGCTCTCACCAAGACTCTTTTGGAATCGATTGGCCGAGGGCTGGTGGTGGAAAGTGGCAACTTTCGACCGTACTTAATTCCATGAACTGTGCTCTTGCTCTTCAGACGACTGCCATAGGCATGTCGTGGATGAGTCCCATGTTTTTGGGAGATAAGCAGCCTTCCTTTGAAAGGAAACTTGGCTTCCCTGAAAGAGGGGGGCGCCGAAAGCAAACATCGCTCGCTTTTCACAAACGGGTACTTTTGCAATTTCGAGCTTTGAGCTCCCCTCTGCAAACCACCCGTCACCCCTCAAGTCCCCTCCCCCTTTACGTCTTATTTGGCTTCGGCACTGGCAGCAGGATGCAACCTGGCCCCAGCACACGTGGGTGCGTCTTTTTTAGGGGCACCTCCAAAATGGGCACCTCCTAAATGAGACAGACCCTCCAACGCCACAAAAAAAACCGGGGGGGGGGGGGGAGGGGGTACCCTTAAAAAAGGAACCGCGCTCACGTGGCATTCCGGCCTGGCGCTTCTTGTTGATCCTGCCTTTCATCAGCCTGAGTTGCTTCAAAGACCCGAGCGCAGCTTTGCTCGTGCTGAGGCAATGGATTCAGTTACAGAATTGCTTTTATTGACCTTGGTTGCTGCTTGATCCCTCCGCAAAAAAGTTTAACTGCTTGTGGGTTTAGTGGAAAGCCCCTTGATTTCCCCAAAAACAAGCAACCAAGTGTGTATACATATACTGCCAAACCTCTCAACCGAGTTAAACAAGAGCACGCCATGCATGCGAAGTAAGAACATGGCAAATGGACAAACCAACCGGAACCTGGTGCTGAAACTGCTGGTACCTAACGCATATTCATCAACAAAGTCTATCATGATCAGAGTTGGACATCCAAAGTTCTTCAAGGCCTTACTCATCGGTTTCAACGGGCCCCATGGTACCCGGCCTTTCGGTAGCAAAGCACGAGCCCTTGTGCGAAGTGTAGGGAACGCAGTCGCCCAGGGTTTCTGGTTGGAGACTCAGAGGCAAAGTGCAAAGTGCCGTCCTAGACCACATGGCCACGGAGTCGAGTAAGTCTAGTACGTATATGTCAGACTGACCCCTGCCCAGAAACATGCCTTTGGACAAAGATGCGCGAACAGGCTCTTACCTTCTGGGCCCGCTCGCAAGACAATGGGGCACCTTGCCCTCTTCAAGCTCCCCACATCCAAACCATGCAAGTACCAGCCAGGCAAAATACAAGGGTAGTGAGCACAAACCTTGTGGCAACCTGAGCAAAACCTGGCTGATTAATGAGCCCAACTGCCCTCGACGAGGCTCCACTAGAAACATCTCACAACTGGAGTTTCTCCCTATTAATTATTTATTGACCAGGTTTGAAGGAAACCCTACAAAATGCTGAGACCCCCTCATGTTCGGATCAAGGTTCCCAACATGCACTTATTCTTCTTCTAGGTCCTGTAGAGAGATTAGAATCAGGGTACCCGATTTTTTGCTGTAGCCTATTTTAGTAGGGGAACCCTCCCAACCAAAAAGGGGGTGAGAAAGGGCACCCAGCTGTGCGACCTAGTCTTCGCAAGTCCGGAAGATCCCCAAAGCGGCTTTCAGTTGCTCAGGTCTTCAGCTCGATTTCCTCCACTGGCCCTACGCCCGCCGCCCGACGCTGAACGCCGAGGAGCGCTCGCAGGCTCCGGCCCGCATCGCTCCAGGAGGGTGAAGAGGAGGCCACCCTTGGCGAGCGCCAGGGTCGAAATGGGTTTGGCCGAGGGAAAAGAAGAAGACCCGAGCTTTGCCAAGCCTTCACCTGTCCCCTGGTCTTTTTGGGGTACATACCCTTTTTGAGGGATGATTTAAAAGAGGAAGAAACTTGAAGCCGTTTGGTTTGATTGGTTGGGGGAACCCTGGACCGGAATCCCCCGAAAAGAACACGGCTCGTGCTCGCGGCGGAAGCCAAACATTTGGCTTGCCGAGTCGGACCTCAACTTTGGGGTTTCTACACAGCTGGGTCAATGGCCAAGCACTGAGGCCTGGGTCAATGGCTCCGAGCTGCTTCAAATCAAGTTGCTTTATTGCTTCAAGGGTGAAATCTTCGAAGCTATGCTCATGTCTGGTCTCGTTTTCGGCATGCCAACCACGCCCCCGCTAGCGTTTCAGTGCACAGCAAAGGCCCCAAAAGCGCCTTTGGAACCATTAAAGGTTTCCCTTGAAAGTCCTCAGGCCGTGAGAGGACTAGCAAAACTTGGTACTCCAATTGTCAGCCACGCAAAGAATCAAAAGGGCCGCGCCTATCTTATGGTTGGGACAAACGACCACCTACCCTCCAAGTAGCCGGGTTTTGTGAACGGCTCAAATGAAGTTCTGCCTGGCTGCTTCACTGCCGAGTACTCGTGCTCCAGCTCAAGTGAGTTGGTCCAACCCCACCTGCACGCAGAAATCTCACCGAACATGCGAGCGCCCAGCAAATTTCTACGACCCGCCGATAGGATACCCGCCCAAAAACTGCAAGCCGGACCTGCCAAAACCGATTCCCCGCCAATTCTTGTCCGTTGCTGATGTGCAAGGAACGCATTTCACTCGCAAATATGACATTTGAGGGTATCGATTGATAGTATTGGTTTAGGGTCTGTGACAGGCGTGCCACAGAAAATCCCCTTCCGACCGAACAGGAAAAAAACAGTCGCCCAAACTGAGACAATCAAAGGTGAGGGTTTGGTGCCACTTGCCAAATTCGGCAAACAGCTAGTTTCCTCACTTCCCGAGTTTCTGGACCAACCAAAGCGAATCCACCGGATTGGACCCTTGGCCTTGGCTTCCTTTCTGGAATTCACCACTCCAAACCACCACTCTAAACCTTGGTCTTCCAAGGCAAACACCGGGCCCTTCTTGATTTGGCCCTTGGAAAAAGGGACATCCGCCCACGGCCGGGTGTTTCAGGGTTCCGGAAGATCAATCCACAGCTGATCCGAGCCGCCCCCGATCCTTCGGCTCGAGCCAAAACCCGCCGAAACCGCGGGCACCCGTCCGTGCGCGCGCGCGTGCGCTCGGATCGTGCCTGGTGACCACGGTGTCCAGCTCCCCGCCGCCTTGGTTGCAACGACCCCCCTGCAAAAAGTGAATAACTTTTTGGGGGTGTAGTGGAAAACCCAACTTGATTTCTACCAAAAGTTAGCAGTCTAATTGGTTCTTTTTAAAAGTTTCGGGGTTAAAAACCCAAATTGATTTCCACCAACAAGTTAAAGTCTAAAAATCCGCTACCCATTAGCAGTCAAGCCGCTCTGCTCCTGTCGGACGAAGGTGAAGTCATGGGCCGCAGGCAGCCCGATGTGGTTCCACCGCTGGTCCTCGCCCGCAGGATGCGCGCGAGGAGGGCAAGCGTCGTGGCTTTTTTCCCATGGGGGGGGGGGGCCATGGGGTTCTCGACCCAACCTTCATTTCAAACCAGAGAAGCCGAGACATTCTGAAGGAAAACAACTTGTTGTTGGTGGGTCGGCAAATGTCCTGCATATGCTCAACTGGGTTCGCTGGCTTCTATGCCTTTTACTCTTGTGAAGTCTCTCGCAAATGGTTTAAGTCGTCTCCTTTGGGCTATTTGCGGTGGGTGGGGTCCTGAGTCCAAAAGTTAAAAGAGGACATCCCCAAGGACCTTCCATCATGGATTTCCCTCCTGAAAAAACCCATCGGTGAGCTGGCCCCCCAAGAAAAGGCCAGCGAAAACTACCCTGCCATTCTCCAGCGAATCGGCGCGAGTCTTGCCTGGGGATTGATGACCTCCACGTGCACCTCGTTGATTTTGTACATCCTTGGCATCGGAAGTCTGCGTGTGCGTGTGCCGTGACCACTTACCACTTCCTGTGACCTTTCCTCAAACAAAAAGTGACAATGGAGACGCACATAAGTTCCAAGGGAAAAAGCCTCCCGTCTCAATCAACATTGTGAGGCAAGCCGGAATGGGTGTGCCTTGTTGGGGAGGACCTCTTGGTTTCAATGAACACCAAAAGCACGCCAATTCTTTTGGGGGTCCCATCACGTTGAAACATCTCCTACTCAAGCTCACAAATGGAGAGGCCATTGAAGGGCAATGGCTTCCGTAGGAGCTTCTCCCAGGCTTCGATCAATCTGCATCCACATTCTCCAAGGGTACCCACCCAGCTGCCCGTTGACCGACTTTTTGGAGGACATGAAAGAATAGGGCCCCATGACGTTTCTGCACTCTCTCTCGGCCCCTGGTTCTTCTCATTTTGTAGAATCTCATTTCTTGAGAGGCCCTTTCGAGTTGCATGTGAATTATCAGTGCAGGTCTCTTAACCCGGTTTTCTGTTTGGTACACACCATTGGATGACATCCGCTAGGAAGTTGTCCCATTTGCGATCACCAGAAACACCTTCGGGCCCTTTTTGAGGACTTGTTAGGCATCCCAGGCTGTAACCAATCCAAGGCGCGTTTTCAAGCCAGGGAAGCTTCTGGAGAACTCGACTTCTTGTCGGTACACCGCCTGCGAGTCTGCGAGTCTGTGATTCCCGAGAGCGCACTTTGCCTTGCCGACCTGCTGCAAAAAGGCTTTTCAAAGCGATGCACCCGATCGAAACACCAGCTGTCACTTTCTGCCAAATCAAAGTGGTCTCAGGGTTCTCCATGTTCTCCCCCACTCTGTGACCTCTTGAAGTCTAAAGTCTTCCAAGGCTTCCCAAGCAAAATCCCAAAGCTTTGAAAGGGATTCGGACGCGGTTCTTTCACATCTCCGTGTGCAAAATTAACCAACATCCCTTGATTGATTTGCTGTTTGGGGGTTTGTCAACATTAAGGGCCCTTGGTCGAACAGGGAGCTCAAATAAACAACTTGACCACATGGAAGTGTCCATCTCCTGCTTTGAAATCATCTTGTTGCGCCTTAGGTCACTTTCTCCCACTTTGTTCTACTGATTCATTTTGAAGAGAACCCCCCCCGCCCAACAGAAAAGAAGAAGAAGAAGAAGAACGAAACTGGCATGGCTGCCTGCTAAGCCTACCCTCCAGAGTCTGCGACAGCAGTTTGCAGCCTCAAGCCTGCCTCGGCAACTTCCTGAGATGGGTCAAGAGGCTTGTGGCGCTTACCACGAGATTTTCGTCTTCACTATGCCAAGCTTGGGTCGCCCAGGAACCCACGCTGTGGACACACAGTAACACAACCCAGTCATTGGCCCGTTGTGACATCTCTCAGGTTGGCAACTTGGAACATGACTAGGTCCTTGAGTGGAGAGGTTAGAATAAGGGTACCCCTTTTTCTGTAGTCTGTTTTAGTAGGGGAACCCTCCCCCAAAAAAGGGGAGAGAAGGGCACTACTGGAGGACCTAGATGACTGACCAGGCCCACCGTTTGGATCACCCCCTTGCCTCGCTAATGTGCAGGCCCTCCCTCTGCATGGCCTGCAATTTCCGACTCACAACAACGACCTGCGATGCCAGGATTCTTTCAACAGCGTCCCCTTCTTGGGCGCATGAAGGCTGTACTTTGCAGTGCCTCGAAAAGGTCCGGGGGTTGCAATGGAAACTTGTGAAGAATGGTTGCCATTCGATTTTGGCCACGCCGCTGCGCGGGTGCAACTTCAGGATCCAGGATGCTGATTGCACTCAAAACAAAACTTTCGTTCGAGCCCGCCGCAACGTGCTGATAGCTCGACCCCACCTTGTTCTTTCACGGCCCTTTGAGATGCAGGCTGTCGGACACGTTTCCAAGCTACGCTGAATCGACAAACGGATTTGTCTACGAAACCTGTGTACTTGCTTGCTACTCTAACTTTGTCTTGGCATGGAAGAACAAAGTGTTGCCACTCCCACGAAAACCGCGCATGAAATCGATTTGTCGTGGCACTACATGTCGCAATGGAGGCCACCCACGCAATGAGCTGCCAGGTTGATGAACGTGTGCGAAGGGCGTGAAGCCGTAGCGGGAAAGTCGGAGAGGCCCAGAAACAAGCACACCAAAGAGGGCTACACGTGGGTACTCCAACAACTAAGAAAACTCCCTTGCTTGTCCTTTCAGGAAAATGGGCCGAAGGTGCCCAAAAGAGAAACCAAGAAAGGGAATCAAACCAGGCAAAAAACAACAATCGACCAAACACACAAGCAAACATATTTGATTAGGGCTGTGAAGCAAAGGTTGCCTATGTACGTCCGTGTGCCCCCACAAGGGAAACCTATCACACCTTAAAACAGACCCGAGGAGGCATGCACGTTACAGCCGGACCCTTTGGACATTGAGGACGTCCGCCATGGAGCGGCATCCAACTCTGAAAACTCATGGCAAATATGTATGACAGCCAATCTCCACAAGTGGATCGATCGTTCAATAGGTTTACCACCAGTAAATCGATCAAATAGTAATTTGGAGAAATCCAGAGATCCGTTGGTGCCCTTTTCCGGGCCGCAGAGTCCACCAAAGTGGCATCAAAACTGCCCAACCCATTTGAGTGGCAGTTAAACGGGATTTGGGCTGGCTTTGTTGCAGAACAAACACAAAAAAACCACCCACTGAACAACATCCAACATCCAACACAAACACTCACCCACTAGAGGAAGCTAAAACCAGTGGGCTCTCCTGTATGTATACCTGCACACATCAATGTATAAATATATGTATATGATATATGTGAAAACAAGAACATGGCTTTGAGATTGATACATGCATACACACAAATATACATATATATATATACATATACATATATATATGTGTGTGTGTGTATGCATATGTGAAAACAAGAACATGGCCTTGAGATAGATACATACATACATATATACATATATATACTATACATATATATATACACATATATGTATATATATATATATTGTATTTATAACTATACATCTGGCTGAACCTGGCTCAAAAACCAAAACCCTGGCTTTGGCCCCCCCCCCCCCCCAACTCGCCTCGTTGATGCCCAGGCGTCCAGCAAAGGCCTCCACCGTGGCATCGGCCACGCTCTGGCCCTCAGCCCCGCCGGGTGAGCGGCGAAAACGGGTGGAAACACCCGCGACACACGGGCCAAAGGGTGGACCCCAAAAAGGAAACACAGGTGAAGACGGGTTAAAAACAACGGGTAAAAAGGGGGAAGGCCGGCTTCTTTTCTCTTTTTTTGGTTGGAACATCCAGAGGTTGAAACATGTATTGAACTAAACACATGTTTGTAGCTCCAAGGACCTGTTGATCAATTCTTGGGAACTTGACCAAACAGGGCTTTGGCCTTTGGCCAACCAATGGCCAAGATTTTGTCCGGGGGCCAAAAACTGACTTTGAGACCTATGTCAGAATGACAAAGTAGACCGTAGACCAAACATCGAGTTCAAAATCCCAACATTCCAAATGGAGGACCGTGGCTGGAACTCTTGTTGCAATTTCACTCCCGAAAGCCTACAATACATTCAATATCAGGGATTCGTGATCACGCCCACGAACAAGAGCCACCCCAAAAACAACAAAACAAAAAACACCTCCCCCCAAAAAACAAGGAATACACAAAAAAAACACCACCACCCGACCCCCCCCAAAAAAAAAAAAAAAAAAAAAAAAAAAAAAAGGAAAAAAGAAAAAGAAAAAACACACACAAACACAAACAAACCCTCCAACTTGGGTCCAGGCGAAACCCGCCCTGATCGCAATCCAAGGGGCCGCGGCCATACGCATGCTGAGCACCCGCAAGCTGGACATCACCTGGGTGCGGCAGTGCTGCTGCTTGGTCCTGCGGCGTTGGATTGCTCACCGGTGCCGACCTTTAGGCCCCAGGCCCATGGGTTCTGCTCGGAATTGAACAGCTGGGGCTACGGTTAATCGTCTTGTGGGTGCCATTTTTGAGCCACGGCCATATTTGTGCCTTAAAGGCCGATGTTGACTAAACATCAGCTGTTGAGGCTATGATAAGTCGAGCTTCCTTTTGATGATGTTTGAGGAAGGGGAAACAAAAAGCAGAGGGCCCCAGTCGAAAACACCCGTCCCAGCAAATTCTAGACAAAACCTCGGAATTCGGTGGGTGTTTGGTCTCTTAAAGGTGGATCCATTTTGCAACCAAGGGAACCACCAAGGGAACCACCCTTCAAACACTTCAGGCACCCAGCCGGAAAGATCTAGAATATGTTTGCCCAACTTTATATTTCTTGGGTTTTGGCTTATCCTGTGATACTGTGGGTTATGGGATTTGTTGGGCTATCCCTACTGTTTCACTTTAAAGGGGTTCACAGTGGGCTATCTCAACTGTGGATGGACAACATCCACTCCAGGTTGAATCTTGGGTTCCCGTCATAAACCGTGTTTGATGGATGACTCGCTATTTGCACTCCGGAGCAGCCTCGAGAGGAGCTCCCAGTTACAAACCGCAGGTAGGTTTCGGCCCACGAGTTGAACGTGCAAAATGCCATGTGCAACTAGTCACCTACCAACTTTTTTGCAGTTGACCGTAGCGCGGGTCACGCGCGGAAGGACGTTGGGAGGGACTGCCTCTCCGTGGGAGCCTTTTGAGGCCCGATGCTTTCCAAAGGAGTCAGAGTGAAGCCATCCGGAGGCGTCCAATTCTGGCACAGGGGCTCCCTCAACTTTAGTTTTTGGACTGGGCAAACGGTCGGTTTTTCTTTTCGGCCCAACAAATCACGGTCCCGCCAAAACAATGAATCCAAGGGCCTTCGTGGGAGCGGAATTGCCCCCGGATCGCTGAGATCGCTACAAAAGTGTCTCACTGCCTGAATGCAGTGGCCAACAACAGGTCTAAGCAATTCGTTTGGCACACATGTGTAAGCCAACCACTCACCCCTGACCCAGTTCGTTTTCCTAAAAATGTAAAGCAACCAGAAACCGCCAGAAACTGGGGTGTGGAGAAAGCCGCGGAACCGTCTCCTCAGAACCAGCGCATGGCGGCAATTCCTCGGGTGAATCGAACGATAAAGGGGGGGGGCAGTTGCGTTGCTAAAGTTTTCCCACGAAACCGGGCCCGGTCCATTCCCCGATTTCAGAGATTTCCTGCAAACAACAAATCCGCATTTCGGGGTTCCATGGGAATCAGCAGGCGACCCAAACAAGTCTCAGCGCTTAGCCCCTGCTTCCTGAACAGGAACATCCATCAGGAGTTGCCCAAAGATACTAGGTCCTCCAGTAGAGTGGTTAGGGTTTAGGGCACCAACTTTTGTCTGTCCATTTTAGTAGAGGAACCCTCCCCCAAAAAAAGGGTGAACGGATGTAAAAGGCCACTTAGCTGGGGGACCTAGGATAGGTGGAGCCCGGGACGTGGCACGAAAAAAAGCAAAATGCTTAAGGGCCAATGCAGGGGAAGTAGCCAGCGCATGCCAAGGTGTCGGGAAGAGAATTCCACCAGCGGTTGTACGTTGCCTGGTACCGATTGCTGGTTGTAAGCATTCATAACGATCAGAGGCTGATTTGCTCTTGCCGTGTGTGCGAACAGTGAACGAAACAATTGAATGACACGCCATGGCCTGCAAGATCAGACAACCCTCTCAATCACATACTGCCATTTGCTTGAGCCCCCTGCAAAAAATAAAAACCAGAGAGGGAGCCCCGAGCAAAGCACCACCATGTTGAGCTCGTACCCCCGACGAGATGCAAAACATGCCGAATTGCCATTTCACCAATCAAAGTGGACAGGGAGGTCCTAAAAAAAAGGTAATGTGTGCGTACTACTGCAACAAACACAACAACAAACTACTACAAACACAACTACTACTGCTATGACTCGTCTTTTCCTGGCCACCTTTCTGTCAGCTTCCGTAGGGTCGTTCCAAGCGCTTTCCGGGGCCGAGGTGCAAGACGTTGGCCCACAGCCAAATCTTGATAATGCGGACATACCTTCCGTTTCGCGCGGTCGCTGGCAACATGTGGTCGAAACCATGCGCCATGGTCATGGTTCCCTTCATGGAAATCCTTACCATGGCTGTCTAAAGTCCATGAACATCGCAATAGCGGGTTGATAACCATCCCTACCAACCCCAAACAAAGGGGCGCCATGCATTTCATAGGCTCTCATATGTAGTGCTCATTGAGACCAATACTTTCTCAGCTTGCCCATGAGGAAAACCATCACTCAAAAGCCTCGAAGATTCTGCATGGAATCAAAGGTTCTGTAACAGACCTCCCATAGCCTCCCCGAACAACAAAAAGTGTGCCACTGGAGGTCTCGGACAAGCATCGTGCTGAAATGTGGCTTCGTTCGGTTGGGCCAAGGATCCATTTGGGTGAAGAAGTCAATCCGCTATGATAGCAAGATTAGAGGCCGAATGCTCGAGTCGCAAGCCAAAAAACCAGCCAACGGGCCCGGAGAAAAAGGCTTTGGCAGCATCCTGCAAGAACCACGCACCTTTCTAGAATTAACACGCAGAGTTTGTGGTGTCCATTTGACCTCCGCAAAAAACGACAAAAGGGCTCCGCGCAAAACCCATGTGCATGTTCAGTCGTTGGGGGTTGTTTGGGTTCCATGTCAATCTCAATTCCTGAGTGGATTGGTCCGAAGAAGCAACCGCACTTTTTCTAACCCACTAAAAGCTTGTCTTCCCATTCCATTCCATTCCATTCCATGCGCACAGAGTTCTGTCGAACGCAGCGATTGCATTAATTAAGCACATGCTTTCATGTGCCCACCCCAGCCGCATAGTCCGGCCCAATTTCTTGTGCCAGCGGCATGTTGGCATACTCAGTGAGCATGCTTTGGGAGGGAATCTCAGCAACATCAGTTTGCGTGGCTTCCCTTAGCTGAGCACTGACCAAGAAGCATTTGGCCAATGCCTTGCACAAGAGAGGAGGGTATTCCTTCAACCGGGATGTGCAAAAAGCTTCCCCATTGTGGCCAATAGATCTTTCCTTTGCCGGCCACTGACTTCGGGGCAGCTTGGTGGATTCGAGGATTCGCTCCCAACCTGGCAGGTGGGTCACCAGCAGGTCAGTCGGCTTTTCGGCTGTCTGGCCCCACTGACGCTGATGTATTCGCCCCTTTTCGACCCCAGGAAGGGTGCACAGCCATTTCACCTGAGCAAGCCTCCATATGGAAGGGAGGCGTGATTCCGAGGGCTCACCAGGATGCTCTGTAATGGTCACTCCACAACATGCGTACAGGTGTGCAACAACAAGCAATGCAGTTTGCAGGAGTTTGTTGCTAATCTGTAGTTGCTTGTGCTCCTTGGAACGCAGGGAGGGGAGTCCCCATGGCTGATGGGCACTCCTGAGTGGACGTGGCGCATTGGGCTTATCTGCTATCTTCACCTCCCTGGCACGTGACCATGTTTCACATGGCGGTCCTGCCTGTGCACCGAGAATGTGGCCACTACGGATGAGTGCAAGGATTTTTGCAACCAACTCATCAGAAGCAAGGTTACATAACTTTGCATTATGGACAACATCAAGGCAAATGACAAAGATGCGAAATGACTGCCCTATACTCATTTCTTCAAGATGACGGCGCATGCTACCCTCACGGTCTCTGCCAGAGAAGAGGTGAAGCACAAAATATGTACGAACCCCTTGGAAATTCATGGCCAGAGGATGCACCACGGGCGCCTGGGCAGTGAACCTGGTACTAGCGCTTTCATCTTGTGCAGTCATCACATCGATTTGATGAACAGAGGTGTTGGGGGTGTGTCCTGCCTTGCGCAGGTTCCTGCCCGGCATGTTGGGATTGCGTGTGTCCCGGCGTGCTCGCAGGGCCGGTGCCGCCCGCCAGAAGAGATCGATCTCTTCTGGGGAGTAGTCTTTGGCATTACTCTGCCTCCACTCAAGCTTGTTGGGGAGTCTCGGACCTTCCAGGAGGATGCAAGGGATCCTCTTGTGTCCTTTGAATCTGCTATCAAGCTTGATGTGAACCGGGGGCCCTGGAAGCGGCTCCAGATTCTGCAAGCAGAATTGCATGCAGCGAGGGTTCTCCCGGAGATGAACATTGACCCGATGGGATGTGTGAAATTCAACGAGACAAACAACACAGTGGGAGGCATATGTGTATGCACGTGTCTCTGAAGAAATTTGGTGTGCATGCCACTGATGGGCCGAGAGCCCCTGTCGGGTGGAGTACTCATTGCCGCACAAGTCACATCTGTGACCAAGTGGGCATGTCGGCGCATCGGGTTGCCTACGCTCAACCATCTGCCCAATTGCACCATCAAAATTTTCACGCCAGTGTTCTAGGTCAGCAAGCAAGGTCAACTGTGTGACAGCGGCTTGGCAAGCCTTGATTGTGTCCCTATTCCACGCATTGCTACTCTTAGCAACATAGGTGAACAACTGGACCCAAGTATAGGTGGTTGACAAACCATTAAAGGCATCAGGCATGACTTCTCTTACAGCTTCGATGTCGTGTTGAACAAGGGTCAACCAGGCACGCGACTCATTGACTTTGTACTCATTCAACAGAAGCTGACTCAAGAAGGCAGGGGCACCAGTGTGAAGGTGAACAAGATACCGCAATCTCATTTTACGCATCTGCCACTCAAGAGACGGACATCTGGCTTTGGCGAGGACATACAGGTTTGAATGTTTTTGTCCATACTGTGTGACACACAAACCTGTGGCGGCCCTGAGAGCTTTCATGTAAAAGCCATTGATGGCCTTTGCAGAGCCACCATCTAGCACTCCCCATGCCTGTGCGCCATAAAGGAGTTTACTGAAAACCGTGGCTTCAACAAAGGTGACTTTTGCAGTGACCGAAATTCCCTTGTTTCTGAAGACTCCAATCCTCAACTGGTGCAAGGCCTGGGCAGCTAGTGCTACACGTCTCCGTGTTTCTTCACGCAATGTGGCATCTGGCGCGACCAACCCTCCCAAATGACAGTATGAAGGCACAACTGACAAGTTGACACTGCTCCCATCATTTTTGGCAACTTGCAGCACCGATGAATTTTCAACAAGGAGTCTTCTGCGGGCTGTCTTCGCTTTGGGACCTGCGAACTGAATCAAGGCTTCAGTCTTACCTTTATCCATGCTGATAGATAGACCTACACTTTGAAATGCAGCCTGAGTTATGTTGACAGCTCTGGCTAGTTTGTCAAGCACTTCATTTTCGGAGGAGGCTTCAATGCAAGCGACCACATCGTCTACCCAGGTGAGGGTGGGAAATGCTTGAGGCATAGATTCCACATCTCAAAATCGGCTTGTATGTCATTCACAACTGCAGCCACAGCCACATTGAAAAGCGCATCAGCGAGGGGTGTTCCTGGACGAGACCCCTGGCAACTACTTGCAATCTGGCCAGTGAGCATATCTCGCATCCATGTGGCATTTTGGCCATCATTGAGCTGCTGCAGCAATACTTTGAATATGCCATTCAGGACTTCGGGATGCTCACTGCTATGCAAGCTGGCATACTGTTCATGCACGGACGGGTCGAGGGTCTCAAGCAGCGAGGCAAACTGATCACTGGTGCGATGAGATCCTACAGCAGCTTCTCGTATGACTTTGTAAAAGGCAGATTTGACATCGAGGAACAACACCGCACAACATTTATGCTTTATGTTACCAATCTGCAGAAAGGTGCGCACTGCATGAGATGCAAAGCAAGGCTGGCTGCCCTGCTTTCCGCCAAGCTGGGCCACTGGCATTCGGTGGCCAATTTGCTGCATTAGCTGATGTCTCTGGATAGCTTGGTGACATTTTGATGCAGTAGTGGACAGCAAAACACTTCGATAGCTGGTGATCTGGTCCTTGGGTCCTTTGGATTTCCAAAGCGACACTAGGGTACCACCCCGAAAAGTGAGAGGCTGATGGGCATATATGCTGGCCTTCAACATCAGGGGAAACCATAAGTGGGCTGCCTCAACATTGGCAATCGAGAAGAGCTCAGATACAAGCAGGTCCTCGCCTGGGGCTTTACCTGACTTGACACGAGCCATTGCCGTTTCAATTTGTACTTTGGTATACAAGTCATCAAGTGCAATGGGGCCACTTGTTGTGAGCAAGTCTTGCGAGGTCTGACATTGCTGGACTAGTTCCTCAGGTTGAACAACTTTCCCACTTTCAATTTCCGCAAAGTACTCAAGGGCCTGATCTGACACTGCAGCAATTGGCATTGCTTTGCGGTTCTTCATCTGTTTGGACTTAGGAAGCAAGGGTCGCATCTCCTTCCATAGGTCGTTCATGCCACCGTGGCTTTCGGCATCACGAGCATTGGCAGCAATGCGCTCGGCATATTCAGCTCGGCAGGTCTGCATTGCTTGGTGCAATGCCTGGCGCACTTGCTTGAGCTGCTTCATCTGAATGGCAATCCTATGGTGTATCTGCTTAATTGCACAGGATGCAGGCGAGGGCGTGGTTACATCCTTCCATGCTTGAAAGCAGCACACAATGTACAGATAACGTTCCTGAAGAAATGAGCGGTTGGTGCATCTTTGGATGCGTCGCTTTTCATGCAAGAGGTCAATTGCAATCTGACTTAGATACGGTCTTACTTTACTCTTCTGCTTGGGCAGCGAGTGGGTGGCTTGCTCCTTCATGCCTTGCTCTATGGTAAAGGCATGTTGGTGCACATTCTGTGTGAAGCAGCTCTCGGCACAAGGGACACTAGCCGGAACGGCACGGAGGGCTTTGCGCCACACTTGCACGTCATCAGAGCAGGCCGGGATCGGCCTCCTGTATGGCAGTGCTTGCCTTGGCTTGTCTTCACACCTATGGGGGACACTGGTGTATTGACACTGCAATGTAACAGCCTGGTGATCAGGTCTGTTAATCTGTAAGTCAATCTGCATTTCAACACTGGATTGCATCTGAGCATAATGCAAGTACGACCTGGGAACAGCAACATAGTCAATCCTGTGCTGGGTCAGCTTCGGACTTGTGAACGTGTAGGGTGTACCTTGATGGAGTCCCTCAAAGGTTGAAGGTAAGCACAGGCCGAGGCGTTGTACTACTTCTGAAAAAGCAACACCACTGGGGGATGTGGGTTGGCCTTGATGTGATCCTATCACTCCATGCTGTTCGGGCATCACATGGTCTCCAGGTGTGGCATTGGCATCGGCAAGCAACACTATGTCCCATGACGCATCATAGTTGTTGGTGCATTGGACGATTTTATCCCAATACATGCGGTATGGCTCCTGATCCTGCTGCTGAACAGGTGCATGCGCCACAACAATGATGCTCTTGTAGTGGGCATTTTTGGCTCTTACTACAAGGAGCTCTGGCTCAGCCTGAATTACTTTGAAGTGGTAAAGAAATGGGGATTGCCTAAGCGGTCATGGCCAAAGGGGATCTCAAGGTTTACCCATAGGGCAACTCCACCTCTGCCTTCTTTGGCTGCGCTACTTAGTCGGAACCATCCTTTGTACATTCCAGAGCACTCATGCCTCGCTCTAGTTTCCTGAAGTCCAGATATGTTGACACATTGTTCAGCAAACTGTTGCATGAGAAATATTTCTCTGGGATAGGGCAAGGGGCTCACGATTGGGATGTGCCTTTTTGGCCTCCTTTTGAAAGTACCCTGGCAGTAGTGTAAGTACGTTGGCCGTACAGTATTTGATGCTTACATTTATTCCAAAGTCTTTTGGCCTTTCAGGAGCATCTGGATTAGCACGCATTTGGGCAAACTGATCGGCAATTCCTTGAACGGGAATTTCAGGCATCGGGGGGATTATCAGTTCACGTGTGGTGGTGTCTAGGCGTGGAAGTGATGGATCATTCCATGCAGCTTTGTGTACCAGCCACATCCATTGGCAACTGATCGAATCCGCACGCAACTGGCATAGGATCTGCGTGATGTGTCTGCTACTCACTTGGATCAGGCCTGCACAGGCTTGACCAGCAAGGACATCAACTGCTTCGTTGAAGGGTTCACCTGAATGCGCTTTAACATGGATGTAATCTGGCATTCTCCAATTTTCAAGCAGTTGGAACAGACTACGAGCAGTACTGCCAAGCGCATGCTTGCTGGTGGTACGTGATCTACCTTGACACATTCTTCCAGCTTCATTGGAGTCATATCGAAATGTGATTTCAATTTCAGGACTGAAGTGAGCCACAATTTGAATTGCCCACACACATTAAACCTTCAAGTTCAACTGGAAATGCACTATCGGGTTGATTGGTGTGGCCAGCAATGTGTCCTCCCCACACTCGACTTTGATCCGGCATGTTCCACAACATTACAACAGCCCAAGATCCTTTGCCCCAGATTTCGTCCTCAACTGGATCTCTGAATGTACCATCAGTGTAGAACGTGACACCGATGGGTTCCTGGTCCAGACACGTTCTGAGGTTTGTGAACTCCTCTATGGTGGAGTGATGCCACGGAATATTTTCTGTGTCAAGGGAAATTATGTGATTGGGCCATGGATCAAGAACTTGAGTGGTGAGTTGTAGTACAGTGTCTACATTGATCCTATTCAAGATGTTCTATCAACATGGTCGGCCGGCCTGCTTCCTGCACTCGGTGTGAAATGGACTGGTGCTGGAATGTGTCCCCATGTTGCCTCGACAAGGATGCCAGAGTGTAGATCTCGCACTCGGGTGTCATTCTCTGGCCACAGGCATCCTCCAGTCTTGATGTGGACCTGCATGTGGGGATCTGGATATTCCCCTGCAAGGGCTTGCTGGAGCACATGGTCACGGGCACACTGTGCTGGAAGGGCAATGGGCCAGTGGGTGATCCGATGCGGGGCTCCAGGTGAGTGCTTGTGATGATTCTGCAACAGTGCCGGAACAAGCATGCGGTGTCTCATCCACTGGAAGTGGTGAGGAGACCAGGCTAGGTAGGCGTCAATGGTCTCGCTTTTGATGGGTTTCTCAACTCCCCATCCCAACGTTGTCGGTTCTGGGTCAATCTTCACGTACCTGGCATCCTCCGTGTTGGTGACATGCTCCAGAATGGACTGAAACAGTACATCTTCGCAAGCATTAGGCACAAGGACACGTTGAGGGCGAGTGGATTGAGCATCGGCTCTCCATAGGTGGATGGTCCTCATGCTGTCACTGGAGCTTGGGTTCGGCACACGGCTGCGGCTTTTGAGACACGACTGCAAATTTGGCATTGCTTGGTACCTCTTGTCTCCTTTTATTCAGGGGAGCTTTGGGATGAAAAAACAGGGTTTCAGGAGTGGTTTTAAATCTCACAGTTACAGCGGCATTTTCTTTGTGCTTCTCACGGGTGCTGTCAACTGGACAATTTCCAGGTCTATGGGTACTCCTGAGTGATGCTTCCTGGATGGCATCACTCATAAGGCACACTATCCCTGCTTCTCATCCTCATCTTCTTCCTCATCTCCATTCTTCTGCAGCGATGCGTAGCGGTTGTGGCTGGCAGATCTACTGCGCTCACGCTTGTGGGGCTCGGCATTCTGCTTGAACTGGAGTGGGGACTGCTTGATCTTTTCGTCGGCTTTTGGTTTCTTCTTTGGGGGCTCCTTGGGGCCCCGATCTTTGGCTTTTTTGCTTTTGTTCTGCTTGTCCTCAAGCTGTGTTGGCTTGTCTGGTGCTTCTGCTGGTGTGACAGGCTCTATTGGGTCATCATCCTGGTCCTCTTGAACTTCCATGGGCGTAGGTGCTGGCGGTAGTTGGAGGCCTGGAAGCTCGGATAGAGCTGTGCTGTCCTGTGATGGAAGCTTATCATCTCTGGTTTCAATCTGTGCAGCTAGGGAGTGCAGTTGGCTTGTGGCGCTTTTTTCATCATCCATGGCTTTGTTGAGCACCTCGGTCCACTGTTGCTTGCTTGAGCTGTATGCCTGGCACTGTTCTTTGTATCGAGCATTAATGCTGGTCTCAAAGGCAGTCCATGACTCATCAAGGGCGTGGAGTGCATCTCTTGCCTTGGTTGCATTGCGCTGTGCTTTTGCTAACTGTCTTCCTGCTTTGTGCACTTGTGATGGAACCGGTTTCTCATCCTCATCTTGTGCTAAGATGGCTGTGATGCTCTCTGCAGTGCTTTTGCCGTATGTTTGCTTGATGGCCTCGAGCAACTTGGTTTTGTCGGTCTGCAGGGTTGTCTCCTTGACTGGTGTCATGTCAGGCTTGACTGGCTTCTGCTGTAGGTCCGACTTGAAATCCTCCTTGGCTGCACTGGTGACATCCTCCCAGCTGGTGGTCGTCACAGGACTGTCACATCCTGTGTTGCCATGCTGGGACTGATACGTGGCAGTTGGGGATCTGGCTCGATGGCTTGCATTGCTTTGTGGTGGCTTGGGAAACGCAGGGTTCTCTGGTTCCTGCTCACTGCGTTGCTTGTTGCTGGTTGCTGATGGGCTTCGGCTTTTGCCTTTCCCTTTGCCTTTCTTGGTTTTGCCTTTGCCTTTGGCATTCCACGTGGGTGGTGGCCTCGAGGTCTTGCGGGGCTGGCGTTGCTGGTGCCATGTCATGGGTGTTGCCCAGTTGGACCAGTGTGATCCACATCCTCCGCAGTATTCGGCATGCTCACCATTGGTGCCGGAGCATTGCATGCATTGCCAGCGCATGTGTGCACTTCTGTTCCAAGAGTGGTGTGCTCTCAGCGTAGATCGTGCCCAGCTGACAGTGCGTCGATTGACCTCCGGCGGTGTCCTGCTGTTAAGGATGAGTATGATCCTTGCACGAGTGCGTTTGCGTCTGGCGCGCCTGTGGAGAGCGCTTTCAGAAGATCGCACTATGGCTTCGCAGGCTTCGCAGGAAAAAGGAAAAAGATGCGGGCTCAGCTTTTCAGGCCACGCTTGGGTCTCGGGCAAACCCCAGAGCCGAGACGCCTTTTGTCTTCCCAAAAAGTATAAAGTCCAGGAACTCAGGAAGTGGTTTAACCTGTAGGAATGTGAAAGAAACATCCTTCAAGGGGCACCATTCAAGATGCTTCCGCATGAGTAATCTGCAGGATCCGCCCTTCCCTGAGTTGCGGGATGCTTCATCCACCAAGCCCCTGCATAGTTCACATGGAGCCCAAATTGGATATTCAGAATATTTCTTACAAAGGGGCGCCTGTTTGGCTTAAATCCATCAAATTCACTACATGCCCATTGTTCGCACCTTCCTCAGAGGCACCCTTCCGTGGACACAAACGACGGTGGCGCCTCACCAGCTCTCCCTCGTGCGGTTCCAGTTGTGACTGCTTCTTCTCGTAGACTTCGTCATAGAGCTCCTCAAGCCAACGCTGACAAGGGGCCGCAAGTTGCTTCCACAAAGCACCCGGACAGACTCAAAGTTTCAGCACGAAAACATTTCAAGGCTGAAATGAGCCAATGCTCCTACGCTGGGAATCCGAAAGCCCAAAAGGCCGAGCACGCTGAAAACCAAGAGCCAATCAACCGCATGAAAGCCTCGTAATCTGGAATCGGACATTTGTGTTTTCCCCCCCCCCCCTTTTTTCATGTTTTTTCATCACCTGGTCTGGTTGCATAAAAGTCAGAAACCATGGAAACACCCACGATTCGAGTGGAGCAAGCTTGGAGTTTCGGATGCATTCAGCTGAGAATGGGTGGACCGTGTTCTTCCCCGTGTTTACTGTTGGTTGAGTTTGCAGAGCAACCAAATGGGCCCCTCCGGACTCTAACGTCGCAAAACCGGAAGTTGCAGCGCCAAAAGTCGTTCCATTCCGAGGCACAGCTGCGCTTCTTTGATCCATGCCATGGGCGTTTTACGCTCGCTCCAAGGGCATAACATGTTTAATGAACTATGTGAGAAGGGGCTGGGACGAGCGAATATTTGATTGATTATGAAGAAAAGGGAAGCAATGGCTCTTGCACCACTTGGAGGGAGGCAAGCACTTTTGGGGCATCCATCACCTTTTGATCCGTTACAAATTGCAAAAGCTGAAGCAAGGGATCTTCAAGTAAAGGACATGGGTTGGATCTCGCCGGTTTTACCCTGGATCCCGGGTTTGACCGTGTTTTGCCGCATTTTGTTTTGCCGTTCGCTCGGAACAAATCTCCCATATGGCAGATCTCCGACAAAGGGGGCCCCCCCTCGGGGTCGTCGGATTCGTGAACCGACGCGCGGAAGCCACGCGGACCGCGCTCCACGAAGCTTTGCCATGTGAACTCATCCAGCGAGATCCCGTGGCTCTGCAGCAGGTTGATCAGCTCCTGTGGCTGCGGAAACCGAAGCCCCGACGGCATTTTGGATGAGCCAATCTCAGTGCTTAGGACCCTGCTTACTGAACAGGAATATCCATCAAGACTGCCCAAAGATACTAGCAGAGAGGTTAGGGTTTAGGGCACCAACTTTATTTTTTCATTTTTGACTATTTTAGTAGGGGAACCCTCCCAACCAAAAAAGGAAGGGGAGAGAAGGGCACTACTGGGGGGACCTAGATTTAGGATGATCTCGGGCACACAGAAAGCCAGCGGTTCAAACTTTCTGGCTGACAGGACCTGGTCAGTAGGCAATGGGTCTTGGCTGGACCCAAAACGCGCAGTCTTTCATCATGTTGGGGAAATCAACTTCTGCAAGGGGGCCTGGCGGCCTGTGGCTTGCCTGTGGCTTGCCGGGAGAACATGGCACCGGAAACCCTCCCGATTTCGCCGGTCAAACTTATGGTGTATCTGAGGGTTGGCAAACTATGAAATATACTCTGCACGTCTAACGCTCTTGCAAGATGCAACCTAGGTGTCCATCAAAAGGATTGGCCAGACAAGCTCTTCAGATTACCCTCGTTCCAACAAGAAGAGCATGAAGCCGACACTGCGAGTTTGGACGGCTATTTGCTGTGACTTGTGTAGGCCCTGGTTCGTTTCCATGGTGGGAGGGAGGGTACCTGCTTTGTTTCAAATACAACCTCAGTGCTGTGAGAGGCTTCTAAGGCTCCTCATGTTTCCCTTTAGGCATCACCCACACTCAACAGAACCTCAGCTCTCAATGGCAGGTATCAGGTGATGGCCTGAAATGCGACGGGACATGTTGGAAGCCTTGAGAGGAACCCCCAGCAACACCCATCTTCCAGGGATCCCCCCCCCCATTTCTTGGGGATCTGGCCTGGGACGCCGACCAATGGCCCTCCAGGGTACACAGGTACATCAATATCAAAGGAACAAACGGACAAACAGACAGACAAACAAAGAGCCACAACAAAACAACACAACACAAAACAATCCAACTCAAACACACCACAACACAACAACACAACACCAAACAAAACCAAGCAAAACAAAACACGGCAAAAACAACACACACGCACACACAACTCAAACAAAACAAACCAACAAACACACACGCACAAGGTTCCACTTTTGTTGGTTGCCCATTTGGGAACTAAGCCCAGAGGTGCTTGTGTCTTAAAGGGAAGCTGTTGGATCCTTCGCCGCCCCGGCCCTGCCTCCTCCTTGTTATTGGTGACCCTTGCCCAGGTCCAGTTCTGCTGCAGGCCTGGGGATAAGTGGAACTCAGGTTTTGGGGGGGGTTGATCCAAAGGCTCTCATGGGATGATTAGATGGAAACTATGCTTCAAAACCCCGGGAACTATGCTTCGGGCCCTTGCTTCGCCAACCTGGCAGCGAGCAAGCCAGCAAGCCAGCAAGTCAAACAGCAAAACAGCAAAACAGCAAACAAGCCAGCCAGCAAGCCAGCCAATTTCCAAGAATACTCAACTGCGGTTCTCTCGCGATGCACGCGAACACTCCCCACCCTCCCTCCCCCCCCCAACCCCCCTCCGGTGAACCTCGAAGGAACACTAACACTCCCCACTCCACCCCCAACCCCCCCACCCACTCCCCACCTGCGGCATAGAGAGTTTTAGTTTCCCCCCTGTTGGTTGTTGAAGCGGAATATGTAGTTGCTGAAGCGAGCAAATAATTTTAGTTTCTGAAGCGTGGTTGCTGAAGCGGGAGGTTTGGTTGCTGAAGCGTAGTTTCTAAAGCGTACGTAGTTTCTGAGGCGTAGTTGCTGAAGCGAATTTGTTCATTAGATGAAGACCACTCAACAAAGGATGTGTCCCAAATGGGACTTGGGACAGTTCAGGGTCATTTGGGCGCCAGAGTGCTGATCAACTGCGGGGTTGATGGCCAGCCTTATGCCCCAAAGGGGTTTTCGACCAATTGGATCTGGCTTGTTTGCCGGCTCCACATACCAAATTTGACCTCCAACCACCTGGAATCCACAGAGAGCCGCGTGAATGGAGTCAAGGAGTCAAAATGGCCGGAGTGGTCAAATATCGGAGCTGAACCAAACAACCAGAGCAGGACTAGAACAGGGGTTATTTTCAGGTGATCGATCTTCACCAAAACCAGTGGCTGGGCTGATTTTAAGTTCATGAGAACCAAGAAGAAGAAGAACAACGAGCACCATGTCGCTTCAGAGCCCTGGTTGTTTCGCCCACATCTGCGTACACCGAAAATCACGTTTGCACATTCTGTTTCATATTTGGGATGTGTTTTTTTGGGGGCACCCCCCCCAAATTAGTGGTTTTCCTTTGTGGTTCCCCTCAGCAACTTGGCGCTCTGGGCTGAATGCTCCAACCGACCGCTTCGAAAGAACCGACTCCGTCCGACTCCCGCCTTGGGAGCCCGTGGCGAAGTCGCGGCCCGCCGGCAGGCCGATTTTGGCCAGCTCGGACCTGGTTCGGTCCTTCGGGTTTTTCCAGGCGACGCTCGGTTTTGCGGATGGAGTGGGACGGATGGACCCTACTGTGGATGGACGAAATCCATTTCGCACCACTTTGAAACCGTGGTTGAAACCAATGTTTGTTGGTAAACTCAGGGGGATCATCATTCCAGGGTTTTCTAGGTGCAGGATTTCGTCCATCCACAGAATGAATTTCAATAGTTCCTATACCCGAGGGTGCAATTTCCACCTCACCAAACATGGGAGACCGGGTCCCAAACACCATGGCTGATGCAAATGGGAAAGAAGAGACACCCTTGATTCAAGGGTTTCTCTTGTTTCGCCTGGTTTCCCCACCTGGGTCCAACAAGGGCATGGTTGAGTCCCGAAATACTGCAGAAAGAGATAGGAAAAAACGCGGTAAACGCCATATAGCTGGAACCAACTGTACCGCATCCGATGCGGTGAGGTGAAGGAGGGCCTGAACCAAATTGGCTGGAAGGGTTCCCCTGACTTGAAAAGTGAAACCTTTTGCACAGGGAGAGTTGCAACAGGTGAGAGTATCTCCTTGGGCCAAGAGGATCAGTTTCCCGGTGTCACCGGCAAATGTCCGGTCCCCGTTCGACGGTTCTCCCATGGTCCTTTATTCTTTGATTTGCTAAAATAAATATTCGCTTTTTTCCCTGTTGGTTTTAAAGTGTTCAAAACAAAAACAGAAAACCAAGCAAATGGAAGTAATAGTCACAACAGGTCAACCCTTTGCTTCTCCTTGAGGTCCAAGCCACTAGCAGCCAAGAACAAACACTCACAATTCGTCCTGGGCCCCTCACCGACCCGAAAGCGTTCCACCCGCAAAGCCCGAGTTGCTCGGCTGGAACCCATCCCAACAAGCACCTGGAAAAGGGAACGAAGGAGGACTCCCCTTTCATGTTGACCCCATATTAATCAACCCCAATTTCTGAAAGGGGGGGTGCTTCTCCCTGGGTTTAGTGGGGAATCAGACCACCTTTAGAGGGGCCCCCACCCCCCTAGCAACAAACTGGGTTGATTAACATGGGGGGCAACTATAGCTACTTGTCTACCCCAACCGTCCATTTTGCTGGGGGGCCATTTTGGGGGAAGGTCCTTGACGGTCATCTTGATGGTATGCGTCTTGTATTTGGTAAGAATACCCGGGATGGTGTCGGAGGCGCCACGTGTCTCCTCAGCTCCAGGAAACAGGATGTTGCAGACCCCGGTGGGCTGGTGGGGGTGGAAAGGCTTTTCCTCTGCATCACTTCCCATAAGGCATTTGTGACCAAAGCTGCGCCGTGCATTTGTCCTCTCCATGCCCCTTGCATGCTTCGCGTTCTGACACAAACCCCCACAATTGCTCTTGCGCATTAGCTTGATTGTGGGGGGCACACGTTCTAGGGGCAGAAACTGCGAGCTTGAAATTGCTCACGTGAGCAACTTCAGCAGTAGCATGCTCTCACCGAAGGGTAGCATTCAATGAATTACTCTATGTGCATGGTTTCACGCCGGAACCCACGGGTGGAAGGGATAGTTAGGTCCCTTTTCCCCGATCCAATGCCCAAGCGGCTTGGTAGCTATAGGCATCCTTCGGCATGTTGAAGCACGCCTTCTGCACTGCAGGGCCTCAGTTTACAAACTGTCGACCCAAAGCTTCTCAGAAGGGGTCCCAACATAGAATCATTTGCGTAGAAAACCCCCCAAACCAGTGCCCTAGCACAACAGGGTTGCCCTAGCCAAAAATGACACAACCAATGTAGAGAATCAAGAGTCGGATATCCACACCTCTGGGGGCTCCTTCACCTCAGGGTGTTGACTCAGCCCAACTCGGCTAAGTGAGCCGAGTTGGAATTCCCAAGCCCAAAGACCACAGAAAGGAATTGGGTCTTAGGTTGATGGTTTTAGGAAGACCCCCTTAGCCACAACAAAAAGCGTGTGGCTCCACTGATCTGGACGTTGCGCCTATTTGGACCCAATTCTCAGGACCGCCGGGGTTTACGTAGAAACCCCCTTACCCTAGGGCTCAACCCCCACTCAAGTAATGGCAAGGACCCAATTTGGGGGATGAAACTCCTTAGGTAAAACTTGGTGGTTCTACAGGGATCCTTACATTATACACCTGAGCATTGCCTTGTCAATGGCGGTTTCCCCTTATTTTGGTGGAAAAAGCCATGTTTCTGTTCTATTGACCCCCATGGTTTGTTTCCTGGTGACTTGAACCCAAGGGCCTATTTCCTCAGCCTCTGCGGGTGGGCCGAGCCAAGCCGCTGAGCTCGAACTTCGTGACGAAGCAGCGCTCCACCTGGTGGCGATGGTTCAGCTCCGTGGGTGCGAACGTCTGACCCCGGATTGGGGTACGGTGCCCCGGATTGGAGTACGGTGGATGCCCGAAATATGGGTGTGCAAAATTGAGCAACTGGGGTTGCGCAGGTTTTGGTCTACCTGTCCATTTACCAGGGTTCCATTTCGGACCCCCATTTTTGAGCCACACCCATATGGCAACTAGCACACGGTCAGGAGGATTCCTCGAAGTTACCACAACCTCAAGCACATGCCGTAGAAAGGTCACCGGTTGCAACCATCCAGGGTTCACCCCCCCTCCCCAATTCTATTTTGAGGGCGTCCCTGACCCGTTGCAAAGGACTGCAGTCTTCCTAAAGCCCTCCTGTCCACTTCCATGATTGTTGCAAAGAGGGTCTCCAGAAACTTTGGAAGTGAGTCTGACTCACTGCCAACCCCCCTCAAAATCAACAATTCAATCCCTGACAATAGAACTCAACCTTAAAGCCACCCCGGGAGGTGCCAAACCTGCCTCAGCCTTTGCCCCCAAACCAAACAAGAACCTTTCTCAACATGGTTGGTTTCCAGTGATTTCAGTGGTTTTCATTTGACAACTCCATGTGAGAAACTCCCCTACGTTTGTTTCCGTTTCGTGTTTCGTGAACCTCAGTCAAAGAGATCTCTGAACCCTCCGATTGGCAAATCAAGTTGAACCCCTCTATTGAGTGAACCATGAACCTACAGAAAACAAACCAACAAAAAAACACTCCATCCAAAGCTATGTGGGTGTATCATTGTTTAGGCTCCTCCCACCTCAAAACCAACTAAATGAATAGAAACACACACACAAAAAAGAAAGAAAGAGAAAAAAACAACTGACACATGAATGCATGGTTGGTTTCCTTTTGGTTTCCTTTTTGACCACCCCTCCAAAAAAGGAACCGCACCCCCTTTTGATTCTGGTCCCCAACCTCAAAACTACGAACACGTGTCCAATGTGGATCTCTGGACTGCCTTGGGCCTGGTGGGCTCAATCAAAACCTTCAAATGCGCCATACTCCCCAAAATTTGCGAACATGAGATCATGGGTGTTTTTTTTTTTTTGGGGGGGGGGGGGTGGGGGTAGTTTGGGGCGGGGGGGAGGGGGGGGTGAAAACATGAGTTGTTGCAAACGTGGTGTCCCCCCCGAACAAAACGGTAGCCTTCCTCTACAAAACTGGCTGTGACACATCCTTTTCGTTCCCTGTGAGCCTGCCGTTCCAAGCCGCCGGCGTGCTCCAGGACTCCTGGGTCCTCCAGTAGAGAGCTTAGAATAAGTTGGTACCAACTTTTGTCTGTAGTCCGTCCATTTTAGATAGACGCGGGGAACCCTCCCAACCAAGAACGGGGTGAGAAATGGCACCTGGCTGGACCCCTTTGGACGTCTATCCAAGCCGCCGCGTGCTCCCACTCCCCGTGCTCGTCCGTGCGCAGCACCACCGCCAGCGGTTGGTTCCGCTCACGGAGCTGGCCCCCCGCGGTGACCTGCCGAGGTCGTCTCACGAGAGACCGGGGGCATCCCGTCGAAGGGGAGCACTCCTGTTAAAGCTTCGCGACAACCCCCCCCCCCCAAAAAAAAAAAAGTGACCCTCGAAAAGGGGACCAACTGACAAAGAGATGGAGACGGGGAACTTCGTTGAATGGGAACGTTCCTTGTAAAGCTTCCCCGCGACAACCCCGAAAAAAAGAAGAAAAGAAGGCAACCCTCGAAACTTTGGCAAAAGCAAACTGGCGAGCTACCCAAGATTATCCACCGGCTATACTCAACTGGGGGTGTTCCCTTTTAGTGGGATTCATCACTTTTGGAGGGGTGTTCTCCTCTATTAACAGGATGGGTTCATTAATGCGGGATAAATGCGGGGTCAACAAGCAGGCGAATTAATTGAACTCTAATCACCTTTCTACTTGGGTATGTTTGGATGGCTCCCTCAGACATGGTTTGCCCTCATAGGCAAGCCCTGTGATTCGAGCCAGGCCAGACTACTCCGAAGTAACAAAATCACCAAATTCACGAGCCGCAACGAGGTCAGTCCATGTTGAGTCTCCAACGAAAGTTGGCCCATCAGCTACCAGGTCTCCAGCTTGACTTTCCCAACACGCAGAGGCGAACCAATGCCAACGGCTCTTTGCCAGGAACCAATCCAGCAAACGACATGCCAAGAATCGCGACCGCAAGCAGCCAAAAAGAAACGCTACCCTTCAAAAGGCCCAAAGCGCCTGAAATACCAAAAACACCAGCGGAAACGACCTCCTTAAATAGCACCCACCCGAATTCTCATGGAGTCCCCAAAAACGGACACCCCTCGCAGTCGCCCGCGCAGTCCTCGGACTTGATCCGCAACTCACGCGACTGGCCCTGGGCAACGAGGTCATGCTTTCTCCCGAAGCTTTTTGGAGCCGTGTCCCCTTGGAGTTTCTGGGCGAAGCAAACAACTGGCGGGGGTTCGGTCGGGGCTCCAATCCTAAATTTGGGGGCACCCGGCTGTGTGTGTCTCCAAATTGCAGTTCAGGGAGTGCTTTTTTTTTTGGCTCCCCGTTGCAACCAGCCAAGTGCTCCGTCTCACAAGGGGCGCAACAGCTCAACTTCTGAACGTCGCCGGGTATTGCCGGGTATAACGATTTTTCCCCAAAACTTTCATAGGCTCATGATCGATCTAGGCCCAGAAAAGCTGGCCAACGAGCGGATCTTCTCACAACTCGCCGCCACACGCGACGCAACGAAGCTTCGTCATGCACCCCCCTTGGTGAGGCCGCAATAAGATGCGTCTGGCACCTTGACATGCAGCAAGGTTGAGAACCAATGTGTTTGCCAAAGCTTCCTTCTGCGCCCCTTGAAACAACCTGATCTACGCGGCGCCTTTTCGCCCCACAACTCCACGCACCTTCTGCGTCCCGCCGTCCCTCCGTCCCGCCTCGTCATTCCGAAAGTGGAGATTGATTCGGACCAGCTCGACTAGGCGAAAAAGCCTCACGAATCCGGCCGGGAGCGCAACATGCCACGTTCCAAGCAAGCAAAAATGGGCGCAGCCTACATAGGGGTCTGGAAAACAACAATTCTCCAGCCCCTTTTGGTTTCCTTGGGCTGAAAATGGACAAGTGGGCTGTTGAGTACCCAGAACATGTTGAAAAAAGGTACCTTTGCTAGGGCTGGGACTTGAATGCGTTCCAAAGGCTGAATTAAGTAAGGGATCCCGAAACAAAGGATCCGTATCATGGTGAGCTCGTACTATTCCCAGGTCGCCATAAAATGCGCAGAGAGCAGTTCCTTGGAGAAATCCGCAGCTCCGGCCACTCACCAGTGGCCGGACTTTGGGCTTCATCGGGAGTGACTTCCGGAAATGGGTGGTTCGTCTTTTCTTGAGGCTACATCCCAAGATGTGGTCTTCCTGTTAAGGTTTCCCCTTGAGACCAACAGACATGTGCCCGAAGAAAGGACATGCCCATAGCTCAGCTTCAGGATGCAGTTCTCTGTTTCATGCTCCTTACCAGCTTCTCTTATTATAGCAGTACTTTTTTGGCCTGACAGGCATCCCTGCCTTTCAAACCAACCCCAAAAGGGTAGCCTCAAGAGGACGGACCAAACTTGCTTTGGAGAACACCCCTTCAACACATCACCGGGAGCCTATGGTCCTCCACCTTCAGCAGGCACTTCTCCTGGCATCCGCGGAGTTGATCCCTACGTGGCCGGGGTTTGGGTGTGCGGCTCCATGGGCCTAAGGCCTAAAGGCCTGGCAATCGCCTCACCTTGTGGCTGTGGGGAATCAAAATTTGAAGGGGCCGGCTATCGCCCCACAAAAGCCACGGGTTCTACTTGGATCCGGGGTCAACATGAAACATCTTAGATCAGGGGGTCACTGGATTTGTTTTCCAAGCTGAGCAATTTACTGGGGGGTTTGATTGAAACACTCTTGGAGGTCTGACAAAGGGAAATTCAGGGACCCTGAAACATGGAACACAGAAACTCATGGTAGGTGACACAGCAAACGGGCGCGCGCGGGTGTGTGCGTGCGTTTCTTTTTCGCACATCTGCAATTTGACCATAGGGATCTGGAGTTCTATTCTAGGGGTACCTTCCATTTCCATTCTTTCCAGGCATCGTTCCTTCCAAAAAACCACCCAAAACCCTGGGGAAACAGCTGGTTCTTGAAAAGAAGGGTGGTTGAAAAGAATGGACAAGGACTCAACCCCTAGATCAATCCTTGCTCATTGGCCCGCCAGCAGCCGATGCCAAGATCATTCAGATATTTGCCATGTGTGCAGGGGTAGCCTGGACTCCCCCTGCCAAAAACGATTCCCCTTGGCAATTCGACCAATTTGCAGGTTGATTCCCCTAGATTCAAGACTCTTCTCAGAAACCAGGCGTCTCCCGCGTTTCCCGAAAAATAAGCCCCATCCCCAACAGCCCCGGAACCCCCTGGAACGAACCGCCACTTTCTTGCCATTAAAACAGTTCAAGCCCCAAGAAGTGGACGAAAGGCCACTTTTTCCAGGGACTGAGTTCTTGGGATTCCCCCACAAACTCAAGTCCAGGAGCTCAAGTCCGAGAATTTCCAGAAAACGGGACTCGCTTCCTGACAGGTTGGGGGCGCCTTCTACCCCACCCGTCCTGGAGCACTACGGACTCGTAGAACTGCGTCAGCGTGTTGGCCTCCAATGGGCCCCGGGGAGGTGAAAGCAGAGATGGAGCATTTTGAGGTTTGGAGCCTCCCTACCTGGGACTGGTGCGAACCCTGAACGGGTGAATTTCTTCCCACCATAATAATAATAATAATGTGTTTTTTTTGAGATCAACAAAATAGCTTGTCCAAACCACTACGTACCAATACCGTATGCCAATACCAAGCTAATCTTAACCAACACATATCCCGCTGACCCAATTCAATTGCAGCCGTATCAGGGGCCTCTCCATTTGAGTCATAATTAAAAACCAGTATTAACATGGTCTACCCAGAACCATGTAACAAATTAAGAAGGCGGATATCCGCAGCCATTTGGCTGTGGGTCAAAACCCTGCACCCCTGGTGAACATCAAAATAGGTGGCACATGGATGTTCTTCCACCCCAAAATGGGATCGCCATAGGTTATGCCCCATGGCCATTCATGGCTAATATGGTCTAACCAACCATTTACCTTCATCAATCCCCGGGTTTTGAGGACGGAACGCCCATTTCGATCATTTCTTTTAAACCACATCCGCTGGCTCGGGCGACAGCGCCAGGTCCGAGCGGCGGTGCCCTTGCCGAAGCGCGACAGGTCCACGTGGTTGGAGGTCAAAAGGTCACCTCAACGGACCGGCCGAAGGCGAGGAAACTGGGAAGCCCTGGAAAGCCATTCCAAGATGTCCAGCCAGGAGAAAAACAAACAGACAAAACAAAGCAAACAAACAAACAAACAAGGGAGCACAATCACAAAGACAAAGACCACTGCACAATTTTGGACAGCCCTTGGGGTTCGGGAGAAAACAACGCCGAATCGTGCCTGAAGGGGAAACCTCACAGACGCAGCCTTTCCCACAAAAAGTGTCCAATTCCAAAACGAAGATCGGAAGATGACCGCAAATAGCATCTCTCCCCTTGGAAGAAGAGTACAGCGCAAAACATTCACTTTTTTCAGGATATGAACGCACATGTCATGCGCTCCAGTTGTTTGAGTTGCAATGAGTGAAATAGCGGCTGACAATGTTGGAAAGCTTGCGGCGAGTCAAGAGCTTGGTGCATGATACCAAGATGCACGTGTCACGGACGCGTCACGCTCAAAACTCTCAGTGGTTTGTTTGGGATTAGGGGATGAGCCACCCTTAACCCCAGTGTGCCCAAAGCTGAGAGGAGCTGTTCCCTTCCCGTGACTCAGGTTCCATGGCAACATGAAAGGGAGGATACCAACAAGGGTAAATCAGCCAGGGATTGAGTTTGATGGGAATCAAAAGTTTTATTGTTCATCCATTCGTGGGCACCAAACCATCTAAACTGCCAAACCAGCCAAACAACCAGTAGACACATTGTCGGCCTTCCTCCGTAGTGGTGGAATGATTAATGTTTGTCATGAAGGTTTCGTGGCTCGTGCTTGATTTGTGGCATTCCCCCAGTGCCTGCAACCGCAAACATGGAATGATTTCAGAGATCTGGCTGTGGGTCAAAACCAATGGTACCATTCTCGGGTAGGTGAATTCACCACCCATTTTAGAACCTATGTTAGTGGTTGGATTGGTTGACGTTCACTCTAACCGATTTGGCTTTTGACCCATGGCCGCCTGGCCTTGGCCAGGGCCTTCGAATTGAACCTTGAGCTGGTTTTCCACCCATTTCAAGAGACGTCGGGCGCGCAAGACTCTGCCCAGGCGCAGAAGCTATCGAAGGTCATCTTGTCCTCCGTGATGCCCTGAGCGAGAGGTTCACTGCCGGCAGAAAAACAAAAAGCAGTCTTCTGGGGTTCGGGGTGACCCTCAAACAAAGTGGGTTCAAGCGGATGCTGCATGATAGCCTGCAAATCGCAATCCGTTTGTCACCCCACTTTCCTGCCCTTTTGTCCACTTGCCCAAGGCTTCTTGAGGAACATGGTAACCCCCCCCACACCCAGTCAGGCTCCGAGAACCTTTTTCAGAAGGGGCCCCGAATGTCAACGAAAACGATTCTCAAGATTCCTGTGCATGTCTACAAGGTTCCAGCTAGCCGCCTGTCGCACATCGTGGGATCGGCCCCTTCCGCAAACACTTGAGTAATCAGGTTTTAACAACGAAAACCCATTTAAAGGAACGCACTGTTTTCGAATAAAAGGCCCCACAAGGAAAGGCTAGTATCCGGATAATCCAAAGTCAGCGTTGCTCGGTATAAGGCTTTTACTATGGCTATGGCAGTTGCCATGGGACGCGCATGTCCATTCGACCCCCCTGTTTGTTTTTTTGGGCGTCCGCATCAACTCGGCTAAGGGTCTGAATAGAGCTGCCCGTCCCTGAAATGGAATAGTGTTGACCGCATACTAAATAACCGCATTATACTAATATATGGGGGGTGTTCCCCTCCACAAGTGATGATTTCCCACCTAACCCAGGGAGAAGCACCCCCCTATTCACAAACTGGGGTTGATTTGTAATCTGGGGTCAACATTCGGAGGTTTCGGCGCAGCTCACGGCCCTCTTTTTGCGAGAGATGCACTGCTAGTCTGCACACCGCCTATTCAGCGTCGGCCTGTTTTCCACGAATTGAGCCGCAGGTCCGGTCCCCTCAGGGGACGGACCCGCGCGTTTGGCTGCAGGGGGGCTTGCAACACCTTTGGCAAGGCTACCGTTTGGATTTGCACCAACATCCAATGACTAGGTCCTCCAGTAGAGAGGTTAGAATAAGGGTACCCTTTTTCTCTGTAGTCTATTTTAGTAGTGGAGCCCTCCCTAAAAAAGGGCAAAAGGGCACTACTGGGGAACCTGGATGAGCGTTACCTTCCCTCCGCACATGGCACCGGACAGGGGGGCCGTCTAAGCAAAATTGATCTTCTAGGTCCCCTCCTGCAGCAACGGGGAGGCCGGTAAATCCCCCTCCAATCTCATTTTAACATAGTTGCCCGCGGCTCGCGACGGGTCACATGGCCATGGGTCAAAAGCCCGTACCCCCAGTGAACATCCCAATCCCCACTAAAATAGCTAAAATGGGTGGCGCACCTGCCCCAAAAATGGTACCATTGGTTTTGACCCACAGCCACATGCTTATGTGCACATGCGATGGCTGCTGTTTCAAGCACGCCTCGCCCCTCTTGGGCAACCCTGTGATGACTGGGAAGAAGTAAAAAGGACCCTTCTGCACAGACAGGAAAAATTGAAATGAACAATCTCTCTCAACTAGCTCCTTCCGGTTGGCCTCCTTGCATGAACAGACGTATGATTGGACTGACAACAGGGGAGACTGCACTGCACACTATGAGGGGAGTGGTGTCAGGACGGGCGATTGCTATCAGACTGTGAGAGTACCGTCCCACTTCAGCGTGTACAGCTTGTCAGATGCGAAGTAGATGATCCCATAGTGCCTTGGCGCACAAGTGAATAAACGACTCACACAACCACGCTCCTGAATCCCATGTGTCATGATCATGATTTCCTCCGGCTTGATTCAAAATAGAGGAACCTCCTTGGCTTCAATGGGGGGGTGTGTTCTGTTTCGACTGAAGAGATGAAGAGCCGTTCTTCAGTGAGCCACGTTTAGATTTTCTCTGCGAGGCCTTCTGAAATGAGGGGCCCCTGAAACCAAGCGGTCGTCTTTTCCCCCAGCTGCAAAACACTTGGCAAAGAGCCACCAATATCGCTTCCGACTGTCAACCACCCTACCTCTTTTTGTTGGGTGGGCGTGAAGCCCCCACTAAAAGAGGGCCACAAAACACAAATCGACCAAGGGTGAAAATGAACACGAAGTTTAGATTACCTGCGATGTGTAGACTACTAATAGGATGGCCGTTTTTCCCTCACAGCCCCTCGCAAGTCTCTCGCGTTTTCCGGGCGCGGCGCCAGACGGCGGCGGCGCGGATGGGGCCCTTGGTCTCGAAGGTCCAGTCCTGCGTCCCCGTTTGCTCCTGGATGGCGTGCAAGGTCCCGTTCTCCGTGCCGAAGTAGATGCGGCCTGATTTGTTTGTCTCGCGCCGGTGAACGAAAAGCAGCCAGCAGCCCAAGCAATGGGCGCTGCGCGCAAGGCGCAAACATGGGCCAAAGACCACAAGCGCAAGCAAAGATGCAGGCAAACGGCAAGACATACGAAGAAGTAGTCACTTAGTGTATACGGGTATCTGTCAGAACCGTGGGAACTCAAGAACTAATTGGATTCCTTTTTGTTTCCCTGCAAATCAGCCCCACAAAGGGTACCCTCAAAACACACATCCTTTAGATATCTGCCCAACCAAGCTTGGTCTTCACATCATGCCAGGTCGCACACCCACATACCCGGAAGGCTTATTTGTTCCTCTCATGGCTCCTCCGCCCGGACATAGATCTGAGAAGTCCAGCGTAAAACACCCTCCCCCAACTTTGCTATGGAAAAGGGCAGGGGTACTACAACAAGCTCTGAGGTGATATCCCGAGCACCGGAGCCGGAGCTGGGGCAAAACCCCCAGAAAACAGACAGAGATGGGGTGTTCGCGGAAGTCCTAGGTCTGTGGAAGGTCACTTTTGGCGCAAGACGGCTCGCTGTTTAGCGGCCTTGAAAGGATGCTTTTGGGGGAAGGAGCCTCTAAGATTGCTAAGGAGAACAAACACGACTTGGGCAGACATAAAGATAAAAAGGGACCGGACCATTTCATTGGTTGGGTGACCCCTCTTTGGACGTGCTGTTGATCCCAGTGCCCCCGATCAACATCTGCCTCGGGTTTTCATTCACCTGAGTTTCGTTCAACACGTCCTTAAAAAAAAAAAAAAAAAAAAAAAAAAAAAAACGCCGAAGGTGCTTGCGCGAGCTTCTGAGCACAGGGGTTAACTTACGCGACCCACTGCACTTGCGCAATGCGGCCTTATGCGGCCTTGCGCCACATGTTTGCCTTACTTGCAAAAACCTCCCCGCCTTCAATTGCAACAAGTGGATTTTTGTACCCTCACCATCAGGGGTCGATTCGTTCTCAGTTTTTGAGGCTACCCTGGGCAGCTTAAAGGAACCAAACCTGCCCGCCGCCAAACCCGGCGCCCACCTGAGTCCACTATGGCAGGCAGGGCGGCGCGCACCGCGCTGCCGGTGCCGGCCTTCCACATGACCTGATGAACGTCGAGAGTGAACAAATAAATGGAATCCCCAAAAGTGTTCGGTAAAACATGCAACGACTAAGCCCTGCGTAACCTTGTTCATAGCCATCAAATGGCACACAGATTTTGATATCACCCCAACAGAAGCTCACTTGCTGAGTAGATGGCCCAAAAACAAATCAAAACTTTAAATTTACCACTAAAATGGTCTTCCCAAAAAGTTTCAAGTTCACGAACTCAGGAAGTGAGGAAAGGGAACTGCGCCCTCTACTTTTACCCTAAAAGGGACCCCCCAAAACCTCAGGTTAAAGCCTGAAGCTTGTCTCGTAAAGCTCCAAACCAGGTTGGTTTCCGTTTAAAGCGACACACAAATTGGGGGTCCCAGGCCCCCCCAAAAAACATAAATCGCAATGACGCGCCCGGCGCCTGCCCGTCCAACTGCAATAGGGCGAAGATGTCCCCGTTGTCGCAGCCAAAGTACACGTAGCCTGACGCGACGGACCCCATGGCCGCCTGAACTTGCTGGTTGGTTGTGTAGGCAGGGAATGAGGTCAGGGTTCCCACAAACCATACCCTTCCTTCTGGTTTTCCTTTCAGGGGATCGGGTTCACTCCCAAAGCCCTCAGCAAGTTGAAAAGGCCCGAACCCGAACCCGACAGCGCATCGCGATGGAACCCAAAGGGTGCCCTGATGTAGCGAAAGGACGCCATTTCGCAGGCCAGATTCCTGCTGAAGAACTCTACCTCAATCACTCTGGGAGATGTTCACTGAGTGGCCAATGAACAAAAGCACAATCCCAAACCCGAAAGGGATCCGCAACCTTCGCCATGCGGTGATGACATTCCAGCACCTCCCGAATTGCCAACCGAATCGCCAGGTGATTGTGGAGAGAGCAATTGGTACTTGAAGCCATTGGTGTCCCACCCGAAAGTTCTCTGAAACTGAAGGCGCTTTGACACACTGAAAGCTACGCTTGGGGTGCCAGACGTTTTCCAGGTGATCCTTCTGAAGAGCAATCCGAAGAAGAGGCAAACAGGCTCTTTCGAGCGCATAGTTGATTCTCCGGCTTGCCCGTCAAATTGGCTTTGGACAAAAGTAAAGTGGTTTCAGTGGCAATCAAACACTTGGGACGTAAGATAGACGAGAATGACTTGGGCTTGGCCTTCCTAAATCTGGAAATCATTTTCCAGGACAACCGCAGGGTCGATAAAAAAGTGACATCCACCAAAGTACCCTCATGGCGGCTTCAATGGAAATCCACTTCCTGAAGGCGAAACTCGAGAATGCGTAGATGCGCAAAAGGCTCCGATGGTGCCCAGTCCCATCCTGTATTCCCATCCTCCTCACACCTGGATTTCCCCTTCTGATGCCGAAGTGGGCCGTCCATGGCCACTGTATCAATTTCGCAGCGATTCCCTTGCACAAGAAGCTGGCCCTAAGAAACAGAAATAACATACCGAACATTTTCTGGCACCCTTCGACATCAGTCTAAACTGTATACGAAATAAATGAAGGAGATCCCAGAGAAAGGACCGTGTCATAGGTGACCTTTTTGAAAACAGATGGCCCTGGTAGATGGAATGAAGCCACCCCAAAACCTAACAAAAACACCCACTTTGGACGGAATCCATTTCGCGCCAAAGAAAACCCCTAAGAATGACTCGCCTTCCCC